ATGCAATTCCTAATGCTAGTCCAAATCCTGTGCCAAAAAGCAATAAAAAAAAATGATATAAAGCATATTCCTGGGTCAACTGACAAAAAAGGAAAGTTAGCAGTACAGTAGATAAAGTATGGTATGAACAAGAAATTTACTGAGGTTGACATGTGTACTGTGGTTAAGTAAGATAATATCCCTAATTTTAGAAAATACTCTTTGAAGCAGTTATGAAGAAAGGGTTCAGGAAAAAAAATAAATCAGATAGTTAAGTAGGTAGGTAGATAAAATGAGAAGACAAATGTGGTAAAATGTTGACCAAAGGTGACTATGGGAACAGGTGTTATTTGAACTTTTCTTACTCATACAACTTTTCTGTAAGTTTGAAATTACTTCTAAATAACAAATTTAGAAATTAAAAATTAAAAAAAGCATTGAAACATTAAAATTAACCATACTCTATTGGAAAAAAAGCTTTCCAGAATCTAGTATATACCCCACTATAATAAATAAGCAGAGCACAAAACACAAAGTAACCCTTTTTAATGAGTCGCCTAAACATCATTGCATAGCACTGTCAATATAGCTGGTCTACATCAAGGGCACTAAACAGCATGCAGGATGTAATTCCCCACTCCTATGCTGGACTCTGCTAATCTACACAGTAATTTTTTTTTTTTTTTTTTTTGAGACGGAATCTTGCTCTGTTGCCCAGGCTCGAGTGCAGTGGCACAATCTCAGCTCACTGCAACCTCTGCCTCCTGGATTCAAGCAGTTCTCTGCCTCAGTCTCCCAAGTAACTGGGATTACAGGCACGTGCCACCACGCCCAGCTAATTTTTGTATTTTTAGTAGACAGGGTTTCACCATCTTGACCAGGCTGGTCTTGAACTCCTGACCTCGTGATTCAAAAAGGTACATGTTTGTTACAGCTTAATTGAAAATTTCGCCCTTTGTCAATACACAATGATAAATGTGTTTGTCTCGTATTCTATAGTTGATATTGTCTTGCATTTTTATTTTTTTATTATACTTTAAGTTCTGGAATACATGTGCAGAACATGCAGGTTTGTTACATAGGTATACATGTGCCATGGTGGTTTGCTGCACCCATCAACCCATCATCTACATTAGGTATTTCTCCTAATGCTATCCCTCCCCTTGCTCCTGACCCCTTGACAGGCCTGTGTGTGTGATGTTCCCCTCCCTGTGTCCATGTGTTCTCACTGGTGAATTGGAGATATTTATATGAAGTAGACTAGATTAAGAGGATGGACAGGTCACACAGTTGCTGACTTAACTGTTTTTCTGGTTCTGCTGAAGGAAGGGAGAAAGAGATCACAAAACAAACTGGTAGACATAGGGAAGCCGACTTTAGCTCAATTACGTAAGGAAGATTTTCTTTTTCCCCTAAAGGCTTAGGTTGGAATAATTTTTTTAAACATACAGTCTGACAATGTCATATGCTACCTTATAAAACAATGAGGTGTTCATTTTAAGCAAAAGTTTATATCCTTTCACAGTTGCTGAAGATAGTATTCCTTCTTTGGGATGGAAGGTTTGAGCAGATGATCACTAAAGTATTTACACCTGTGACAGTCAAGCACTCTGGCCTTAAATGTAGCCATTTTGACAAAATGTAAAGCACTTTACATGCCTATAAATAGGCAGTACAAATAACCTATTTTTCATTTCTAGAAAAATGTTTACAAAGAAACCTTAAATGTTTTCCTAGTCATATATGAAGATCAAATCAGATGTATTAGACTTAAATCTCAGACCTCAAACTATGAAGCTACTAAAGATAACATTGGGGAAACGCTCCAGGACATCTCTTGAGTAATACTCCACAAGCACAGGCCTCCAAGACAAAAGTGGACAAATTGCATTATATTGAGTTAAAAAGCTTCTGCACAGCAAAAGAAACAACAAAGTGAAGAGACAACCCACAGAATGATAGAAAATATTTGCAAACTGACAAGGGAATGTGAATCCCTATATCCATCTGACAAGGGATTAATAACCAGAATATATGATGGGCTCAAACAACTCTATATGAAAAAATCTAATAAGCCTATTAAAAAATGGGCAAAAGAGCTGAACAGACATTTCTAAAATGAGACATACAAATGGTAAACAGGTATATGAAAAGGTGCTCAACATCACCAATCATCAGAGAAACGCAAAACAAAACTACAACGAGACATCATTTCACCCCAGTTAAAATGGCTTTTATCCAAAAGACAGGCAATAATGAATGCTGGTGAGGAGGTGGAAAAAAGGGAACACTGTTGGTGGGGATGTAAATCAGTACAACCACTATGGAAAACAGTAGTAGTTTTGAGGTTCCTCAAAAACTAAAAAGAGAACTATCATATAATCCAGCAATCCCACTACTAGGTACATACCCAAAAGGAAGGAAATCAGCATATCGAAGAGACATCTGCATTCTCATGTTTACTGCAGTCTATTCACAACAGGTAAGACTTGGAAGCAACCTTAGTGCCCATCACCAGACAAATGCATAAAATGTGGCACACATACACAACAGAGTATTATTCAGCCACAAAAAAAGAATGAGATCCTGTCATTTGCAACAGCATGGATGAACTGGAGGACATTTTATTAAGTTAAATAAACTAGGCACAGAAAGGAAAAGTTTACATATTCTCATTCGTGAGAGCTAAAGTTTAAAACAACTGAACTCATGGAGATAGAGAGTAGAATTTTGGTTACCGGAGGATGGGAAGGGTAGTGGGGGTGGGAGAAAGGGGGATGATTAATGGGTACATAATACAGTTAGCTAAGATGAATAAGATTTAGTACTTGATACTACAATAGGGTGACTACAGTCAACAATAACTTATAATTTATTGTACATTTTAAAATAACAGAGTACAACTGACATGTTTATAACACAAAGAAATAATAAATGCTTGAGGTGATGAATACCCCATTTACCCTAATGTGATTATTACGCATTGCATGCCTGTATCAAAATATCTCATGTACCCTATAAATATATTACACACCAAATATGTACCCATGAAAATTAATTTTTAAAAATTTTAAATTTAAAAAAATGTTTTTCTAGCAAAGAGATCCTCTGAGGTTGCTATTTGAAAGTATTTTCCTGACTAGTCACATATCTGGTAGCTTACTTTATAAATCACTGAAAAAGGATTGCTCTGAACTTCTATATTCTCTCATGTACTTGATTTAAAATATTAGAATGAAGTAATTCATTTTCAAGAGCTTCTCAGTTCTTCCCAAGGATTTTTAAAAAATAAAATAACTGAGATCCAGAACTCACCAGAAGAAATCTTACCAGCACCTTTACAGTCAACAGAAAATGCTGATGTGACTCCATTGGCTGACCCCAGTTCGCACATGGAAATTTGATAAGGAGGTCTCAGCTTGATTTCCGTCTGCATGTCAGAAAGATTTATCTTGGTTGAAAGAGACCTGGGATTATTATATCGTTGCTTGGTCCTCTGAATGAAGTTATCTATGTAAAATAAAACATAAATTTCCTTGCAGTCACTTGTCAATTAATCGTTTCAGAATATGATGCTTATGGATAGTAAATATTACAGGTAGTTTATTATTCAAAATTGTTCAATTTGTCACGAAGTATTCCAATATTACTTGTGTTTTGATTAATATATCATGAAGTCATCAGTTTTACCCTCTAGAAATCAGTAATTTTAAATAAACTAAGGATTTAACACTACCTAAGTATATTACATCCACTTCAAGAAATTGCAAAAACAAAAAAGAGCTTTAACTTTAAACCAAAGTCTTGATTTTTTTTTTTTTTTTTTTTTTGAGATAGGGTCTTGCTCTGTCATCTAGGCTGGGATGCAGTGGTCCAATCATAGCTCACTGTAACCTTGAATTTCTGTGCTCAAGTGAATCTCCTGCCTCAGTCTCCCAAGCAGCTGGGGCTGCCACCATGCCCAGCTTATTTATTTTTTTTGTACAGACAGAGTCTCTCTCTGTTGCCCAGGGTGGTCTCGAACTCCTGGCCTTAAGTGATCCTACTGCCTCGGCCTCCCAAAGTGCTGGGATAAAAGGCATGAGCTACCACACCTTGCCCAAAGTCTTGATTTTTATAGAGATTCCTATCTCATGAAATATTAAATCTGTCAGATTTACCAGCTGCAATTACATAAGAACACACACTAGAAGTTGCATGTTTTTATAAATCTGTTTTCTTGTTATTGCTTACACCATTAGAATGTAGGTTTTAAAGAATAAATTGAATAAAACTAATATAATACATTTCCTAAATATTTTCCAAGTGGAATTTTATTTTTACTATTTACAACTTTTTCCTTCTACATCAGAAGTTGAGCAAACTACTGACCACAGGCCAAATCTAGCCTGCTGACTATTCTGTAACGTTTTATTAGAATATAACTGCACTCATTTACGTACTGCCTATGGCTGCTTTTGAGCTACAATGGCAGGGCTGAATAGTTGTGACAGTGACTATATGATCCTTAAAGCCTAAAATATGTACTATCTGGTCCTTTCCAGCAAATGTTTGCCATCCCCTATTCTACATGAAGCAGACTATAAAAGATTATTACAGAAACACAAAAGTCTGAATCTCTGGCTTACAAATTTCTCATTGAGAAGTTATCCTCTGGCATTAATTATTTGGACCAATACTCAAAATCCCCTTCACAGTTCAAACACAATTTTTTTTCTAATAAGCATCTAAGTAAAAAGTTACCATAAGTTATAGATCATTTACCAAATTACTCTATCAAAAGCAAGATAGCTGAAGTCCCCCCTCCACCCAATATTAGATTTAAAATTACTTATGATTGGATGGAGATGAATAAAAAGGAAAAAAAAATCAGGCCCTTACCAAATTCAATGAAACAGTATGGTCTGACAGCAGTATTTGTCTTCATCATGTTATAAGTAGTAATGAACTCCTTCTGAAGCTCATCCAGGAAAGAGAAGGCGAGAACATTTGGGTAATTGTCAGTGCACAACATCATGTAGCTCACTCCCAGAGAGCTAATAAAACTACAGTGTAAAAAACATTGGTTTTAAAATTTCAAATTAAATCAAGGTAATTCACTGCTTCACAAGACTGGTTCCATACACCATAAACTGCTACTACGGTGGCAATGAAGATCTTAACATTTATTATATATTCTAGGAAAAAATTTAAAGGAACCAAAATACAGTACTATTTTAAGTTGTGGTTTAAAAACAGATGACAAAAAATAGAATGTACTACAGAGGGACATACAATATGGTTCTAACATTTCAGTTATCACTAGGGGTAAAAAGCAGGGGAACGGATATACAAATGTATTATAAATATTACAGACAGCTTAAAGTCTAACCCTTCAACATGTTCCCCACTTTTGAGTCCAGAACCCTTTCAAGATTCTGATGAAAGGAACACTCTCCCTAGAAAGATGTCAGAACACAGAGGACTGCACACAATTTCAAGGTGATCACTGACCTCTTGAAGTCATCAATGACATGCCCCAGAATCAAATCCTCTGCTTTACACAGTAATTGATTATGAACCATGGGAGGTGGGAATTTATGAGTTTATATAAAAACGCAAAAGTAGAACTGAGGGCTATGACTTAAAACAGAATGCTGAGTGTTGACTGGTAAATGCAGAGGTAGTGCTAGCAATGGAAAAATCAGCATTTGCAACCAACATGGTAAAGATTGGATCAGGCAAGGACAATCATGGATGTTAAATCTAGGGGGAAATTTTTATGGATTAGTATATTTGCATGGTTTTAAAATGTCTTTCCATGGATTGTTTCTTAGTTGCAAGGGGAAAATATTATACAGTAGAAGCTAGACAACTCCTTCACCAAGTACTCTCTAACATCATTAATGTTAGATGGATACTGTGTCTCCAGATGTTATATCCTGAGAAAGATACATCAGCTATATAATATTCTGAGAATGCATAATTTGAATTTCATCATAAGAAAACACCAAAATGATCAACATTCTATTTTTAAAAAGGAAAAAGTGTATTCTTTAAAAATTCCAGGGTTGTAAAAAAGAAATAAAGGAAGTGGAAATGTTGCCAATCAAAAGAAGCTAAAGAGGCTGGGCGCGGTGGGGGCCTGTAATCCCAGCACTTTGGGAGGCCGAGGTGGGCGGATCACCTGAGGTCAGGAGCTTGAGACCAGCCTGGTCAACATGGTGAAACCCCGTCTCTACTAAAAATATAAAAATTAACTGGGTATGGTGGTGCATGCCTGTAATCCCAGCTATTCAGGAGGCTGAGGCAGGAGAATCGTTTGAAGCCAGGAGATGGAGGTTGAAGAGAGCCGAGATTGCGCCACTGCACTCCAGCCTGGGTGACAAGAGAGAGACTCTGTCTCCCCCCCAAAAAAAAGCAGCTAAAGAGATATGACAACTAAATGCAATTCCTAATGCTAGTCCAAATCCTGTGCCAAAAAGCAATAAAAAAAAATGATATAAAGCATATTCCTGGGTCAACTGACAAAAAAGGAAAGTTAGCAGTACAGTAGATAAAGTATGGTATGAACAAGAAATTTACTGAGGTTGACATGTGTACTGTGGTTAAGTAAGATAATATCCCTAATTTTAGAAAATACTCTTTGAAGCAGTTATGAAGAAAGGGTTCAGGAAAAAAAATAAATCAGATAGTTAAGTAGGTAGGTAGATAAAATGAGAAGACAAATGTGGTAAAATGTTGACCAAAGGTGACTATGGGAACAGGTGTTATTTGAACTTTTCTTACTCATACAACTTTTCTGTAAGTTTGAAATTACTTCTAAATAACAAATTTAGAAATTAAAAATTAAAAAAAGCATTGAAACATTAAAATTAACCATACTCTATTGGAAAAAAAGCTTTCCAGAATCTAGTATATACCCCACTATAATAAATAAGCAGAGCACAAAACACAAAGTAACCCTTTTTAATGAGTCGCCTAAACATCATTGCATAGCACTGTCAATATAGCTGGTCTACATCAAGGGCACTAAACAGCATGCAGGATGTAATTCCCCACTCCTATGCTGGACTCTGCTAATCTACACAGTAATTTTTTTTTTTTTTTTTTTGAGACGGAATCTTGCTCTGTTGCCCAGGCTCGAGTGCAGTGGCACAATCTCAGCTCACTGCAACCTCTGCCTCCTGAGTTCAAGTGATTCTCTTGTCTCAGCCTCCTGAGTAGCAGGGATTACAGGCACACACGACCACACCTGGCTAATTTTTGTATTTTTAGTAGAGACGGGGTTTCACCATGTTGGCCAGGGTGGTCTCAAACTCCTGACCTCAAGTGATCTGCCTGCCTTGGCCTCCCAAAGTGGTGGGATTACAGGTATAAGTCACCACGCCCAGCCAACACAGTAATCTTTACTGTAAAACTCTGATCCATACTGGTCACCTTACTGTTTTCTTTCTCAAATAACATAGAAGCAGAATTTATTAATGTTTAGAATAAATAAGTTCACAGGATTCAAATTTAACAAGAATGAAAAATAAAAGGGTATACGGCACTTAAAGTGTCTTATCACTCTTGCCCAGATACCTAGTTCTCCTTCCCTTGGGCAATCCATGTTAGTAATAATTTCTTATGTATCCTTCCTGTGAGAGCTTGTGTGTAAGCAAGTAAATATGTGTGTGAATATATACATGTGACATATATATATACACATGAATCCCTTTTAAAAGACCATCCCAGGTTGCCAAATGGGCTTGGCACCTACTAGTCATCTATTACTAGTGGTATGGGATATACTAGTGGTGAAATAGTTCTGATCTTATGGTTCTAGAGTAGCCTGGTTGTTCCTTTCTGAAGCATCACTTAATACACACTCATTTAGGGCAACGTTTTTCAAAGTGCAAGTTGTAAACCACTATGTCATGAAACTAGTTTAGTGAACTACAGCATTTTCCAGAAATTGAAGTAAAATATAACAGAAAGTATTGGAATACATATTGTTTCATAAAACTTTTGTTTTAGTTTTCTATATGTGTACATATAGTGCTTACAAAGTAAAATGTATCTCTTCTTAAGGATCATAGTCAAATTAATTTAGCCATAGCATATTGCCTTTTTCTACAAATTAATACCTAAATCAAAGGCCAAAATATGCTTTCTCAAATGATTTTCTCTTTCCAAAAAAAATCTCCACTGTCATTATCAAAATTATTTGACATGTCATTAGCATTCAAATATACCCCATAATAACCTCAATAACCTGAAGACAATTGGTAATTGGCTTCCACACCCTAGGAACTCCCAACTGGCTAGCTAGGAGTTATTTGATTATCCTTCATTAATACGACTGAAGGTTTTAGAATCCATTTTTTGTATTGTGTCAGAGTCTTACTGTATTTCCATATTAATAACAGAGTCAGCCACAGACATCTACATGACAGTTTATCCCGAATGGTTTATCTTACTTGTGCTAAATGTAACTAGACAATTGTATGTAAAATAAAGGAAACCCTATGTCTTTAACATGGCATGTGAGCATTTTCAGGAAGTCTTTATTTTACTACAGTTGCAAGATTCTCTCTGAAAAGGCTATAGTGTGTTCTATAACATTATGGCTTTTCATAGTAAATTTAGCTTTGTAATGCTTTATTTGAAATGCAAAGCTAGTTTTCCCAAAGTACATACAGTTCCATTTATGTTTGTGATGGAAAAAATTCTGCTTTTTCAACAATCATGGGACAGATTGAAATACTCCCACCACTTCACTGAGGACTACCCATAAAATAGTCTAAAGTCATTATAGGCATGCCAGTTTGTGCATGCTTTTGCTGTGTTCATCAGGTTCACCTAGTGAATATTTTATAGATAGTCTGGCAGATGTCTATCTGCCTTGAGGAGAAAGAAGAGAAATAGTAGTAAGAGTAATAGCACCACGTAGTTTACTGACCACTTAGTATAAGCTAGGCCCTTTGCTAAGTATTTTACGTATTTAGTTTCATTCTCACAATAAAGGGGCACTATTATCTCCACTTTACAAATGAAAGAAAAGAAACTCAGGGAGGCTTAGTAACTTATCCAAGGTCACACACCATTAAGAAGCAAAGACGGGATGAAGTTAGTTGATTCCAAGGCCCACATTTTTTCCACAATACAATAGCAACTTCCATGTAGTATAGATTAACCAATTATTCCAAATTCACCAATGTTTTTTCACTTTTTCCAAGCCACAAATCAATCTCTATTTTACTCCCTAAATTAAGAGTAATGAAACTTGAGAGTTTTGGAACCTGTATTACAGTTATCTTCTGCAAGCCCTCCCAACCACTCCACTTCATTTTGTACAACTCTACTCCTCCCTCTCTACATTCTAGCCACCCACTGGCCTTATTTCAGATCCCCAAGGATACCAACCCACTTCCAGCCCTCCCACTCCCAAACTGAGAAACTTCATGATTTTGTCTTCCCCAGTGCTCCAATTCTGACCTGGCTAATTCCTACATATCCTTCAGTTCTTAGACTGAAAGTCCTTCCCAGAACACACAATCTAAACTGATCCCACTCCTACATAGTATATCATAGCAGCTGTTAGTTTTCTTCACAAACTAACCCAATTTATAATTGTATATTAATATATTTTTGTTGCAATGTCTCTCTCACTAATATACACACTCCATGAGAGCAGGGATGATTTCTGTATAGCTCACCATTATATTCTTAGCACTTAGAATATTTTGTGTCTAGTAAACAAGAAGTGCTCAGTGAATAAATGACTGCAAAGGTGGCATCATTCTTTTACTAATTTATACACTAATTTGTTGAGTATATCATGCACCAGTAATTGCACAGCTTAGTGGTATCTACACGAAGCAGCAGCTCAATAAATACTTAACTAAACGACAGAAAACAGTAGAACTTCACTTGTCTTCTAGTTACTGTTCTCCAGAAGGCTTTATTTAGGGTTCAGGTCAGTAAATCTTCGACATGTCCTTAAGAGAGGGATGTTCTCAAGAGCCATGTAGAATTACTCACCTTCACAGTGAGTACCTCAAGAATGGCTATGCAGGTCTCA